TCTAATCATTGATAGATAAAATTAATTATTAATTCATTTCCATTTTAACTCAAAAGTGAAAAATCAATTAAAATTAATTAAATTAATACCAGAATTAAAAGTCGCAGCAAGGTCTCCGTTCGGACTTATAGCTAGATATATAGACGAATTATCATCCTCCAAAGTATACGTTCGTATATCTTGGATATTTAAATTATCATGTTCATTTATAATTTCATCCATTTTTGATAAGATATATCAAAGTAAATGACTTGATATTTGCTTTCTGAAATAAATACGCGTAAATATATACATATTTTTCTCTTAAAAAGTTGATCATCTAGTTTTTATTTTAGTCACCTTTTTTAGTATGGTATAGTGACACTTTCCTTATTTTTTTTTGTTAACATTGTTCGTTCGAATAAATTCGAACTTTATTAATTCGACCGGAAATATCTTCCTATTTCGTTTTTGTAATCTAAACGTATTATGTAATTCAATTTCATTTATTTCCATTATTGCTAGATCAACAAATGATGATCAGGAACAAAACATCTTTTTTGTTCAAACCTGTTTCGTCGGCTAGTATTTTAGCCGAAGTTATTCAGGGATCGTTCAAATATCAAATTTTGCTAAAAAAAAATTGTGGTAATTGATTTAAGTTACTTTTGAGAGGTATATTTAAATTAGAAAATTGCCTTATTTGTATGTCTAAATGTTTCCTTGGAATAAAGTGTAATTTAATGGTTTTATATTCTTTCAAAATTACAAATCATGAATTGTATTAGGGTTTAGACGACAATTAATTTTATTCGTAATAATAAGTTGTTTTAAAAAGACGGATCTAGATAAAAACCTGCTTACGTAAACTTTGCTATTTAGACTACAAACCTGCTTATGTAAACTTTGCTATTTAGATCGGGTTCCAAACTGTTACCTCCTGAATTTGATTGAGAGGCAATTTATACGATATAGTTATTGGGCAAGGACGGTTAAATATCAGCCTATCGGCTGATATTCCAATATTAGGACCGATGATTGGAATGAGAATGTGCACGTATTGCATTGAATACGTCATGCGTCGACAATATCAGCCATTTGAGAATAGATGTACAATAATTAATAGCTATTCGGCACGAAGTGCCGAATAACTATTATATTGGGAAAATCAAATTTGCCGGATAAAAAACATTATTTATTGAAAACGATTTTAATACTTCACGAATGCCTGCCGCAGTGAGTTAATCAGGCGCAGTCAAATTTTGAAAGTGACACAATGCTTTAAAAAATTTTGCGTAGCGTATTGAAAATGTTAAAAAAAAATTTTTTTTAATTTTTTTTTAATATATTATTAATAATCACGAATGTTACCGAGTGATTATCTTAGATTTAGATTATCCTCCGGCCAAAATGACACTTGTCTCTAATCAATTTGAACAGATTGACCATCCGAAATGTAGAATGTTTTCGAAATTCAAAAAGAGCTTGGTATTACTTTAAGATGTTTCCTTTCGTTTATAAATATAAACTGAACTTAAAATATGATTTTAAAAAAGATATAATTAAAGTATGCCCCAAATGAGTTAATGTCATTTCGGACGAAATGTTGATTTAAGATATTATCCGAAGTGGTCATTTATGTGAGGTCTTGAATAGTGTTACAATGGCTAGTTAATCATATTGTTTGCTTAATAAAGTTAGAGATTTACATGAGCGGATCTGAGATTTAGAAGGGCCCCTGAATACACTGCGTTGTACGGGTTTGACATTTTAGTGTCAAAGTTCCGCTGTTCTTAGTGTACGGATATGAAAAGTTGGCTGGCTGAAGTTTGAAGTACGGATTTCAAATAACAATGATTTATCTCGTTGTACAGTTTACAATAAAAATTGCCTCCGCGTACAAAATTACAATAAATTTTTACCTCCGCGTGCAGATTTACTTCAGAATTAAGGGGTTCGACGTACAAAAATCCATATCAGGAATGTTCGATGTACTTTTTATCATTAATCATTTATCTTATCTCTTATTTTTCTTTGTTTAAAATTTTAATCATAAAAAATGAATACTAACGAAAGTAGTAATTCAAGTTCATCCAAAAAAAGGTTACAACAAACAAAACTTGATTATTTTGGAATAGCAAATAACTTTGTTCAAGGAAAAGAAAAAAGCACTGCATCTAATACTGGTGAAGATGTTGCTCTTATGTATCAATTTAAATGTATAAAATTTGTTTTTTTTAATTAAGTTTTTATATTAAATTTCAGTAATTCAAAGCGAAAATTTATTGGTTAAAAGAACTCGAGATGAAAATACAAAACAAAAGATAGTAGAAATTCTTCAAAATCTTAAAGGCCTATCGGGAAAAGTTTTATTGAAAAAAATTTTAGAGGATAAATCTTACGATTTATTTGGCGATAATAAGCATGTTTGTTGTCAAAGTTGTCAAATATTAATAACTCCTGCACCGTTTTAGTGATGGAACTAGATTATCGCTATTTTTAAAATAATGCAATTTCTAAAAAATAAATGATGATCACAAAAAAATAATTCGAACTCCTGAAATTTGTGTAACTATAATATTGACCAATCAAATTATAGTAGAATTTTTAAATAA